TCTTTCACTCTGTTATCCTGGGAGCTGTTGGCCCCAGGGGAGTACAGGGTCATACAGGGTGGCCTGTCTTCTCTCCCCTGCTCCACACCCAGGTGGCATCAGAGTGCAAACCATGTGAATGCTGAGTGTTGGAAGTTGCAGAGGGTGAGCCCTGATTTGAAGGCTTTGCCACGGGATTAACTTCTTTTGGCTGCAATGAACTGAATAATGAGCCAAAGGACCCTGGAAAGATCCGTTGGTTTTCCATTCCTAGATGCTAAAGAGGCTTTTGACGCCAGCTTTGTTCAAACTACAAAAAATCGCAGCCGTTTGCCCCTGTCCCCTCATCGTTGGCTAGAAATGAACAAATCCGGGAGGCCCCATGGCAGCCCCTTGGGGTGGACAGATGCTGCTCTGTCCCCTTTCCGGCATATTCACTTGGTGCTTTGGAGAGTGGGTGAAGACCCCCCCAGGTTGGCGGTCTGTTGGCAGACTCTGTAGAACAGCCCCTTGCTTGAGGCTGTAGCACTGACCACCCAGCTGCCGTGTGGTGGGGGAGGCCCGGGGACAGGGGACAGCGCCTTCTCTTCACCCCCAGCAGGCCGCCTGCAGTGGGGCCACGGGCTGGCTGTGGAGCTCCAGGGGATCCAGCTCTTGTTTGCATGAAGCAGTGTTAGTGTGACACTCCTTTCCCCTTCTCTGCGTTCCTTTCTCTAATCCCTGCTCCCTTTCTTGGTCCTGGGTTCTGCCCAGGGAGGCTTCCTTTGCAGTTTGTCTCTGGGAAATGGAAGGGCTCCCCTTCCCCCTGCCTTGCCCCAGCAGAGCCAGCGGGATGTTCCTGGTCTCCTGCCGTCCTCCCCTCCACACTCAGTTTCTATCTTCTTTGGTAAAAGCTCCGCTTTTTTCCTGATCGGGAGGAAGTGCAGGCCCCTGAAGCCTGTCCCCACAGAAAGGTTTCCTGGGGCCAAGCTCAGGGCTCTCTGCTCTGTATCTTCTCTCCATTTCTCTGCCCTCCCCTTGCCCTAGGCCTGAGCTCAGCACAGGTGAGTGCTCAGAGCAACTCAGGCCTGGAGGGAGCGCTCGGGCAGGAATGAGAAGCGTTCAGCATCCCCATGCCTGGCCCATCTGGTTTCACCCTTTAGTTACCCGGGCCAGTAGCTTTGGGTTGTCCCCTCTTGTAGCTCCTAGCCCAATGCTTAGAGCAACAGTATATAGGGCATGGGCAGGAGGTGGACCTCTCACCTCAGAATTTGCCACTTATGGGTCTGGCTCCTAGGAGGCAGTTTTCTTAAAAGGGATTGCATCCTGGTTGGTCTGAAGTCCCCAGACCTGGAGGGACTGCTGTGCCCTCCCTTCTCTCCAGTGTGCGCTGGTGGACTAATGCCGCAGGAGGGACCGTCTGTGCTGTTGGACTCCCAGCATGCACCAGATTCTGTGTCACATTAGCCTCCTTTTGGAGGGAGGATGGTGAGGTTGAGAGAGTAGAGGTGACGGATGTGCTCCAGCACCTCATCGTCCAGTCCCACCTCCCGTCTTCCTCTTCTCCCAAACCCAAGCACATCGTGCCAGGCCTCACTCACCAGGACAACATCAGCTCCCTCCTCAGCAATCATCTCAGGTGTGTGGGCAGCTTAGGGCTTGGGGAGATCGGAGTGGACGAGGGGAGTGATACGGGGCGAGGCACGCGGCCAGCTGCTAAAGTTACACCAGTTTTATGTCATGCTCCCTTTTTAAGCCAGTGAGCTGGGCTTCAGTTTTCCCCAGGCCATGCACACTTTTAATTTATTTGAGAGAAACTCTAATTGTATTTTCACTGCAGTATCTTGTATTTTTTATTTGTGATTTAAGAAATGTGAAGAGAAAATACACAGACACATAATGGCTAGCAGTGTTTCTTTCATTCCTGGTTCTAGAGCTAACCACTCTAAAATTGTTTGGTAATGTCACTTAGTGTAATTAATTGTAACATATTCTTTTAAATAAATTGATTTATTGATGAAACTATTCTTTGGTTTCCTAGGTTACAAATCCTTTGGGTTGTGTGGGAAGCAGTGTAGAGGGACCTTTGAGATTTGAGTTAGAATGGTCAGTCTGGAAACAGGAAGGAACATTTAACCAGTTATCCCAAGTAACAGTGATCTTTTGAAGGCAGGTGATGCGGGGGAGGGGGGGAAGCTGGGAGGCCTCTGGTCTAGCCTTGTGTTCAGTGGCTCCTTTGAAGATTCCTTCCCCCTCAGACTTCAGTTGATGGTGCCAGCCTGCACAAAGCCCACGCTGGCTCACAGGGCCCCTCCCTCGACCTTACGCAGATAGATCCTGGCAGGATCCTTGGGACACATCTTAGTCCCCAACCCCCAGTAACATGTATAGACTTTGTCATTTTCCTATTTTATGGATATCCTAGAGGCCCGGTGCACGGATTTGTGCACTGGTGGGGTCCCTCAGCCTGGTCTGTGCCCTCGCAATCTGGGACCCCTCGGGGGACGTAGTAGTGTGCAAAGTGGCAGGTGGCTGGGGAGGGGCCCAGGCCGGGCGCCACGCTGTAGCGCTGCTGCCGAGACAGGAGAGGCTCACTGCCACAGCTGCGCTTGCCAGCCATGAGCCCGGTGTCTGGTGCCCATTGGTCAGCTGAGCGGCGCTCCCGCTATGGGAGTGCACTGACCACCAGGGGGCAGCTCCTGCGTTGAGCACCTACCCCCTGGTGGTCAGTGCACATCATAGTGACCAGTTGTTCGTTCGCTTAGGCTTTTATATATATAGGTATGTTTTTTTAATATATATATATATTTTTTTTAGAGAATGGGGAAAGGAAAAGAGAGAGAGGTAGAAACATCTATGAGAGAGAAACATCGACCAGCCACCTCCTACACACACACCATTGGGGATCGAACGCACAACCTGGGCATGTGCCCTGACTGGGAATTGAACTGTGACCTCTTGGTTCATGGGTTCATGGGTTGATGCTCCGCCACGGAGCCAAAACTCTAAAACTATAGGTGGGGAAATGGGAATTTGCGAAGGAATTATCCGGACTCCCCCACCACCCTATCACCTGTAGTCCCCCTGAGTGAGGACATTTTTCTAGATGTCTTTTCGTTTCTATTCCTGGAAGGCGTCTCCTGATCCCTGCTATTAACCTGTCAACTCCACTCTTCTGCCTCGAGAAGTTCTTCTCCTTCCCTCTTCTCTATGTTGCCGTTAACGTTAGAGCAGCACCTCGATTATTTGAGAAGAAACTGGTGCTAAGTTTCATTTTGCTTGGTCTGAAGTGAGGTGATCCTGTTGTCACCCTATTTGTCCTCTGTCCCATTTTATTACTGAAGCTAACAGAACCATCCCTGCTGTACACCCTCCCTGCCCTGTTTGAAACCAGCGTGCCTGAAAAATCCGCTGGTGCAAGGAACAAGTCAGGAGCCTCTCTTCTGTCTCAGATGGCCGCCTACGTTCTGCTGTCAAAGGACCTAGAGAATCCCTGCCCAATAGTCGTTTGTTTCCTCCAGAAGACTCCTCTGTTTCCTTCATCCCCATCATTCAACCTTGATTATCCACTGCTTCTCTGGAGAAAGTCTGGCTGCAGGCTTGCCAGGAGGGGCACAGCTCAGAGCAGGGGCAGCAATCAATGCAGGCATTCCTCAGTGTGTGTGTCGGGTGGGCCCTGAGACCCTCGGCCCGCCCAGAAACCCAGCCAGTAAATCCCTCTGGGAGAAGCCCTTTGGGCTAAAAGCCCTTCCGTCTTTCTGTCCTGACCCAGAAACTCTTGCCAAGTCACTGAGACAGCTGAGGGGAAATTCATAATGTCAGTAGCAGCTCCTGCTGTCCTCACACACCTCTTCCCGTCTCTGAACGAACACACACACACACACCCTCTAAGATTTCGGTGCCAGGTGCCTGGCTAAGAATGACTGGGTTCTCTTCCTTCTGAGTCAGGTCCCATCCCTGATCTCTCCGAGCCAGGAGACCTGCCCTCCTGAATCAGTGCCCACAGGTATGTCTGTAGCACGTCACATGGTGCTACTCTTGAGCACGTCTGAGCGCGGGGCAGTTGCTAAGAGAAGGCTGAGGTGCAGTGGGTGGTGGGAGTTACTCCTCTCACAGAACAGCTGTGGCCCCAGGCCAGGGGGTGGCCAGGTGGCGGCGGGAAGGTGAGCACGTTTATAAGCAGGAACAGGAGGAGGGTGGGTGGTAACAAGATGCCTAGAAGCAAACGGCCCGGACGACCTGAGTGAGTGCCTGCCCCAGCCCCAGGGCAGTCACAGGGAGTCCAGGAGCCCAGAGACTTCGGCTCAGACAGTCCGCCGCCCGCTCCCGGGAGCCTTTGTCTCGGGTCAAAGCCCAGGTGGCTGACCTGTGAGAGGAGCATCATGGGCTTGGGGCTCTGATCCTGGTTTCAACGCCCGCAGCTCCATGGCTCTGGGCAGTTGATTACCCTCCAAAGCCTCCATCTTCCTGTGTGTAACATGACTTCCTGCCTCGCAGGGATGATGGGAGGTTAAGTGAGGAAATACGCGTTCAGAGTAAATGCTTTGTAATGGTGGCGGCACCGCTAGCTCCCGGGGTCCCCGCTGGCCAGTGCAGGGCAGGTCGGAAGTCCTTGGCCTTTGGAGGGACCTGGCGGGGTGCAGGAGAGGCCTGCTTTCTCCCCTCGGCGCCCGCCCCACAGAGCACTGCAGAGTTAAGCCCCACAGAAGGGGGAGGGTGTGGGTCGTGGGATGGAGGCCTGGGCACCACGCAAAGGCGTGCACGGCCCTTTCTGAGAGCCCCACCTCCCCCCCGCCCCCGGCCCAAACCTCACTTCCCTCCTCCCAGCGTGCACCAGCCCCTGCCCTCAGCCTTCCAGAACTCTTATTTGATGCTTTTAATATTTTTTCTTTATTTAGACAGAAAAGACGAACTCTTTAAAAGTAAAATGCAATAAATAAATAAGTTAAGCATAGAGAAATGTCTGAAACTGACGCCCTGGTCTCCCCGTACCACTCCCACCCCCACCCCACTTCTTTCCCCTAAAACCTCTTCCTAAAGAAAATGACCAGGTAATAAACCCCTTTATCCCTCCCCACACCCCTCCTCCCTAATACCCAATTACCCCCAAAGCAAAGGGAGAAATCAAGAGAGAAGAAATCCAAGGGGAACATTGTCTAAACTCCCCGAAGAGAGATGGCAGCGGCCGGGCGGGCCGGGCTGGGTAACGCACACACGGCTGGTAGTGGTATTTACATGGAGGGACCAGCAGAGACTGTAAACATTTTTAGGGGCTCGGGGAGATCTTTTCCTCGTGAAAGGAGGAGGGTCTCTGTGGCTGACTGGCGGAGAGGCAGCCCTCAGGGCTCCCCCACACCCTCCTTAGAGGGGGCCCTTAGGGAGGCAGTGAGTTTTAGGGCTGGGAGCCCAGGGTTTAGGGGTGTCCTACCTCTAGCTCAGGGTGGCACGGAGCAAGAACCAGCTTCTGAGAAGCCCCTGATGTGGGGAAGAGGCTGGGGCGGCCAGTGGGGAGCACGTGGGAGCCCCTTGGCCCTGCCACTGCTCAGGTAGAACAGGCCCCTGGTGGGGACGCAGGTGCGAAAGCTGGGCGCAGGAGGCCCGGCACAGGAACCCCGCAGAAGGCAGGTACCCCAAGCCTTCAGGCCTGTCCCTTGCTCCCTCACAAAGGCCAAAAGGGCACCTGGGAGGAAACAGGCCCTTGCGGAGAGGCGGCTGGCAGGAGTGGGTGTGTCCTGTGCCCCCAGAGCCCAATCAAGGCCCAGAGATGTGCGGAGGGGGCTGGGGCCGGGCAGGCATGAGCCCCTTCTTGTGGAGCCTCCAGACCTGTGAAGGAAGGAGACACGGTGAAGCCACGGGGAAGAAGGCCAACCCAGGTCACGGCTGGGGGGGGGGGGGGGTGCGGGGAGGAGGCGGCTGGAGTGGCTGAGGAGGGCATGTCAGCAGAAAGGCCGCAGTCCAAACTGAACCATCCGGCCCCCCAGCCTTTGGACAAGGGGCAGGGATGGAGGAGGTGGGAGGGAGGGAGGTAGATGATACAAGAAACCAAAGATATTAGGAAGGAAATATTCAAACAGCCCGTGAGAAAAGGAAGATCGGAAGATACAGGGACCAGAGGGAGAGGCAAGGAGACAGACAGCAGACAGGCAGGCAGAGAACTCGGAGGAGGAGGAGCAGGTGCCGTGTTGGGACAGACACCTGAGGAGACAGCAGAGGGCAAAGGGGAGGGCAGGCGGGGGAGCCCAGGGCTCCCAGTGCTCTCATTCCTTTCGGGAAGGAACGAAGAAAGCCAGGGAGAAATGCACAGAACACAGACCACAGTCACCAACCACTGTCAACCAAGCACGTCCCGCGAGCTGCCCCGGCCCTGACCCTGGGCTGGGGGCGCTTCCCTCCGCGGCCCCCTCCCCAAATAACAAACAATCGGCTCCAAAGACAACACGCTCGTTCCATGCAACTTACAGGGGCCCGGAGCAGGGGTCCGGGGATGGGGGCTTCGGCCGACAATGGACACGGGCCCTGGGCTGGGGGCCCCCAGGGTGGGGGGAGTTAAGCAGCCAGGATTGGGGGGAAAGGGGGAGAAACAGAAAATGTGGGTATTGTTCTTGGGTTGTATTTTTTCGGGGGTTTGGTCCAAAGGAGGTTAAACAACATAAAAGTAACATAAGCTCACAGCTCTAGGCCGTGAGGTTGGGGGTGGAGGGCTATGGGGTGGAGGGGCCCCTTCAGGGAAATTCACAGGAGTCCAGCATTGCAGCCTCCGCCACCTGAACCACAGCTGCTCCCGGGAGGCCTGAGGCTGGGACGCCCCCCAGTCTGTTCTGTGCACTCTCCACTGTCCCATGGGTCCACGGCCACATAGCAAATCACCTGGAGTCCAGGGCACCGGGACCCCATGTCCCGCTTCTCAGAATCGATATTCCAGCAGCGGGTGAGTCTACGACCCTCCTCAAACCCTGCTCCCACAATTCCACTCCAACCCAAAGGAAAACCAGAGACACACACAGACACATGGACACAGCAGACACACGAGACCAGATATTAGGGAAGACCTGGGGAGTGCACACAGATAGACAGGCTTTGGGCTCTATCGGGTCAGTGTGTGTGTGTGTGTGTGTGTGTGTGTGTGTGTGTGTGTGTGTGTGTGTTGGGGGGTGAGACTTGGATGATTGAAAAACAACCAGAGCAGGGCATCCCTGAGGCCGTGGGGGAGCGGGTTGGGGGGCGAGGGGGCGGGGGGGGGGGGGGCGGGGGGAGCAGTCTGAGGGAGGGCCTGGCTGCAGTGTGTGCCCAGAACACAGACCACAGTCCCCAGCTGTGGAGAAGTCACAGGACAGGAACAGGACCCACCTGGGGCCCTCAGTAGGGCCGGTTGGCATCCTTAGGCCGCTTTAGCTGGACTTTGAGACGCTTCATGCCAATCTGGAAACCGTTCATGGCCTGGATGGCAGCCTGGGCGCTGGCCGGATTGTCGAAACTCACAAAGCCTGCGGTGAGCGGGGCATAAGGCCGGCCCAGCCCACCCCAGCACCACCCTGCTGCCTGCAGGTCCCTGAAATGCCTAGAAAAGTGCCCAGCACACAGCAGGCTCCTCGATGGGCCGTTGAGAGAATGCAGCAGCCGAGCCACTCACATTGGGACCTTCTTCCCAGCGTTCTCTGAGGCGGAGCCCCTTCCTTGGCCTCCCCCCCCCCCCCCCAAAACAACGCTTCCAGACCCTAAAGGACTTCTGAAGCAGGAGGACAAGAAGGTTGGCTTTCTCCCCTGAGCCTTGCAGGCAGAGGCCTGAAGGCAACTAACACGACTTTCTAAGCCTTCCTTTCGGAAACCAGACATCCCCTTGCAGAGCCTCTGGACCTCACGGAGCGCGGGTTTACCGGGTCGTAAGAGAAAAGGGGACCCTGGTTCTCTGGAGAAGAGACAGGCCTGGGCAGCAGCTGGGAGGGGTGTCCGGTGTGCAAAAAATGGTGGGGGTTTTTGACTCTTGGACAATCTGGATTCCAAATACTGGGCCCACGGCAACTATAAGGGCTTCAGGTGGATCAGGCCTTGTCCTCTTTTGGAATTTGGCAAAAATGTGCCATAATTTATCTTTCAGGTCGTCATGTTCTTACCAAAACACTTGCTCTGATTGGTGGCCCGGTCAACAAAGACTTTGGCTGAGATGACATGGCCAAAGGGGATGAACATCTGGAGGATCTCTGAGTCCGTGAACTCCTGGGGCAAGTGGTAGATGAAGATGTTGCAGCCGTCAGGGCCTGGGGGGCAACAGACAGGAAGAGCTTGGTGCCTGGGGGACAGACTCGGGAGCCAAGGCCTGGGGGAGCAGGTCCTGGGAGGATCCTCAGTTCTGGCCGGCAATAGGGGCCAGGGTGCCAGCCACCTCTCCCCACCCACGGGGCCAGAGCTGGGCTTGGACTAGGCACAAGGGAGTCCAAGCCCTCGACAGGGGCACCCCTAGCCCCAAGGCTGTCGGCTGGGCCTCCCGGGGCCGCACCTTCCCGCTGCTGCTGTTGCTGCTGTTGCTGCTGCTGCTGCTGCTGCTGCTGCTGCTGCTGGGGCGGGGGCGGGGGCTGCTGGGCGACCAGGGCAGGAGGCTGCGGGAACGCGGGCGCAACCAGGCTGTAGGCTGCGGGGTAGGCTGCTGGGTGGAGGGACAGAGAGCTCCTGGGGCTCCTGAGATGCCCTGGCCCCAGCCTCCCCGCCAGCCCTGTCTCCCCGCCCCTGGCCCAGGCAATGGAGTCGGCAGGGCTGAGAGGTGTCAGAGAAGGAGCTGCCCCAGACCCAGCTCCTGAGCCTCTTTCCGCTCTTCATCCCTCCCACCCGGGCCAGGCCTGGCGGGCTCACCTGTGTAGTGCTGCATCCCCGCGTAGGCCTGCTGCAGGGGGTCCACGGGGGCCGCGGGGCTCTGGGCTGGAGAGAGCAGAGCAGAGGCCGGCAGGTGGGGATCCGAGCCTCACCCGGGCTCCCCTGACATTAGCAAGACTTGAGTCTGACTGGCTGTGCAACCCTGGACAAGTCCCTTTGCCTCTCTGCGCCTCAGCTTCCCTGGCTCCCCTGCCCAGGGTGACAGAGCAGGAGGCCTTGTAACCCCAGGCCTGGAGCCGGGAGGTATGTCACAGCTGCCGGCGGGGAGTGGTGGCTGGAGGGCGGCTGGGAGAAGGGTGGGCAGCAGAGACCCCCACCTGGGTAGGGGTGAACCCCGTTGGGATACAGAGCATCAGGGGCAGGCTGCCCGGTGGGCTGGGTGGGCACCGGGCTGTAGCCATTGACGCCCAGGGCGGCGGGGATGGCCGAGACAGGCGTGGCAGCGATGGCAGGAGGGGTGCTGGTTCCTGGGAGGAGAAAGTGACAAAGACAGAGCAGAGGAGCCGACACACACAGATGCAGAGAACCAGTCAGCAAGTCCGCGGGCAGAGGGAGGGCACAGGCTGCTCTCTGACCCAGCCACCCCCGGGCTCCCCTGCCCTGCCCCATTCCCCCAGCCCAGCCCTGCCTGGACCTTACCTGAGGATGGGGTAATGGGGGTGGCGATGAGGCCATTGGCATTGATGGCGGCCATGTGTTGCATCTGCACGGCAGCCATGGTGGCCATGGGGCTGAGGTAGGCACTGTGAGCCGCCACCAGGGCCGCCTGCTGCTGCATCAGCTGGGGGCAGGGAGGAGAGGAGCGTGGGCCCAGGCCCTGCCCGGTCCCTGCCCAACCCCGGGCCTGGCACTGGGTGCGGGGGGCAGGACACAGGAGGAGAGGGGACGGGCCAGCGCCGGGGGCTGTGCTCACGGCCTGGGTGTAGGCGCTGTAGGCTCCAAACTGGAGGGCGATGGGGCTGAACATGCCCAGCTGGGTGGCCACCTGCTGCATCCGGCGGAGACCGCGCTCCTTCTCCGTGTCAGCGAACTTCACCACCAGGCTGGACGAGGCACCCTGGGCACGGGCCCGCATGCGGTCAGGGGGGCAGAGGCGGTCTCCCCCCGAGCCCTCGGGCCCTGGCCCAGGCCCACCACAAGCAGCCATCAGTGCGCCTCTGCCAGGGCTGGCCGTGGGCGAGGCGGGCGGAGAGGGTGGGGGGTGAGGGGCTCACCGGCAGGGTCCGGCTGCTGTGAAGGGTGTTGATAGCTGCCTGGGCCTCCGCGTGGGTCTGGAACTTCACGAAGGCGCAGCCTAGAGAATTCAGGGGCGAGGAGGGAGGGTGAGTGCCCACTTCTGAGGCCCCCACAGATCCCATTGCCCAAGAAACCAGCGGGTCAGGGGCAGGCAGGCCAGAGGGCGGGCGCGAGGAGGAGGAGGAGGAGGAGGAGGAGGAGGAGGAGGAGGAGGAGGAGGAGGAGGGGGAGAGGGAGGGGGAGGGGGAGGAGGGGGAGGAGGGGGAGGAGGAGGGGGAGGAGGGGGAAGAGGGGGAGGGGAGGGGGAGGAGGGGGAGGGGGAGGGGGGAGGGGGAGGAGGGGAGGGGGAGGAGGGGGAGGGAGGAGGGGAAGAGGAGGGGAGGGGAGAGGAGGAGGGGGGAGGAGGGGGAGGAGGAGAGGGGGAGGGGAAGAGGGGGAGGGGGAAGAGGGGGAGGGGAAGAGGGGGCGGGGGAGGGGGAGGAGGCGGGGCTACCTTTGCTGGTGCCATCCGGCCCCCGCAGCACAGTGCACTCGTCTATGGTCCCAAAAGGCTCGAACATCTTCCGGACGTCCTCATCTGTCTGCTGCTTCCCTAGCATCCCCACAAAGAGCTTCCGGTCTTCTGGGGGACAGGGCACGGGGGGAGGGGCACGGTCAGGCCTCCGGCTGCTTTTCCGCCGCCCCAGCGTGGGACAGGCAGGGGCCCACCCTTTCCCTTCAGCTCTTCCCTGGAGCTCCACTCACTCACCCCGGGGACCGAGGGCTTTGGGTGTGAACGGGGTGCTGGTTGTGGGTGGGTAGTTACCTAGAGGGCCTCTCCCATTTCTGAAGGACTTGCATTCCACTCGGGGCCTCAGTTTTGCCATCTCTGTGATGGGCTGGATCACCTCCCCTCTGGCCACACTGACTCCTATGCCCACCTTGACGGGGAACCCTTCACAGCTCTGGCTTCCTTCCTCAAGAAAGGCTGTCCCACAGCTACTCCAAGCCCGGCCTTGCGGGTGGAGGGGAGGGACTGGGTCCAAAGGCACAGGACCTACCTCCTCGGCTCTCGCTGTCGGCTGGCTTCACCTGGATTGGTCTGTTCATCTAAAGGAGAGAAGAGAAGGCAAGTGCTGGGGACCTCCTTGGACACCCAGACCTCCCCCGACCCCACCCAGGCCAGGACCTGCGAGAGGCCAGAGGGAGGAAACCAGGCCCCGGAGGGCTCCCAGCCCTCTAACTTGCTGACGGGAAGGGAGGGATGGGCCTAATCTTATTCAGGATTAGGACCAGAGGGGATTAGAGGCCCGGGAAGGAGCGGATGTCGAGAAGGATGCTCATGGGCACAGCACCAGGCTCAGGGAAGGCCCCCGACGACTTGGCCAGGGGTAGGTGCTGCTCTCCTCAGCGGAAGAACGGGGCTGCCCACAGGCCCTGGTCCTGAGACAGAGCCCGGCCAACGGGCTGGTCCACAGGAGCTGTCGCACTTCCACACCGGAGCAATGGAGGCCACCCATCAGAGCCCCAAAGAAGACGCTACACTGAGGGGGACCCCACAGATGCCCCAACTTCCTCCTGACCCCTAGAGGAGTGTCTGCCTCTCTTCCTGCCCCCCCTTACACCTCTTGACCCCAGGGGGAAGGCATTCGGGCAGCACAAAGGGAGCAGATGCCCAGTCTCCGTGGCAACGGGAGAATGCGCGCCATGGCAACCGCCCACTCAGCCTGATTTATCCGTCCCGTCGCCCTGGCGACCATGGTGACGTCATCACTTCTGCTGCTCCGCACACCGTAGCAGGCTTGGGGAGGGGGGTGGGAACAGGGTACGCTGAGGGGGGAGGATTGGGTGGGGGCTGAGAGGTGGGGGAGGGGGCCAGAAGGAGGGAGGGAGGCTTGCCGAGCTGGCCCCGCGGGTCCATGCTGCCCCTTCTCCCTCCCTCCCTCCTCCTGATCAAACCCCTGGTGTCTCACAGTCGGGCAGCTCGGGAGGGGGTGCTGTCCCGCGCCCCCCAAGATGCTCCCTGTGCCCGGAGTCCGCCGAGCTCTCCCCTCTCCCTCTCCGCAGTCGCTCCCTTTTGTTCAGCGGAAATGCACACCCCCCAGTTCCACTCCGGGTTCTTGTTGGGGACAGGACTTGGGAATGACTCCTGCAGGTTGGTTTCCTTAGCTGGGCGGGGGGGGGGGGGGGGGGGGAGGCGGGGCGGGGAGCATCGTGGGGACCAGAGAGGGAGGGGCAGGGCTCAGTCTTCCCTGTCTGAGCATATTTTGCTAATAAGGACTTTGACCAATGGGGGCACACCTGGTCACCCCACTCATCTGATGGCAGGGCAGGCCTAGTTCCAGTTACCAAAAATAAGTTAACAAAAAATCTGATTCATCTACGTTCTGAGGGTGGGGCTGAAGTGACCCTCAGGGCGGCACTGGGCTTGGAGGACTGGCCCTGCCACCCAGCAGCTGGGTGACCTTGGACAAGTCCTTTCTCTCCTCTGGGCCTCAGTCTCCTCCTCCGCAGAACAGTGGGCTCAGGGGTCATGGGCCAGGCTCCCTCGGCTTTAGTGTTCCGGCCCGGAGAACCGTGTACCTCACTTAACACAGAGCAGGGCTGGAACGACAGTCCCCCCACCCCACACGGGACCGTCTTCCCGGGTATCCCAGTCCGTCTGGCTGGGCCCTGCCGGCCAGGGACTCCGGGCCCTGGATCAAATCTAAGCCCCACCTCAGCTGGTAGTCCTGCCCCGCCCCGCCCCCACCCCTGGATCTGAGAGCAGCTGGTTGGGGAGGAGGGTCACACAAATCCTCCGGCCAGCCGATCTCCTCCAGCTTTATCCTCCACCAATCTGGGATTATCCATCTGCGGTCCCATCTCCTCAGGAGAGAGGGAGTGTGTGTGCATAGCCAGGGCTGAGGGTCAGATGCTCAGGCTCCTGGTCTTGCACCCTCCTTGTCCTGTACTGTCACCCAAGCAATCAGGAAGCCCCTCACAGGCCGCTCAGCAGGCAGACCACACACACACACACACACACACACACACACACACACACGAATCAGAGCCAGGGTGGCAGTGTCCGGGAATTCTCATGCTTGCACTGACCCCTTCCCAGCAGGCCCCTGGGGATTTGCTGTTCTAGTTGGGGATGGGGAACCTGGGGCCAGAGAGAGAGAGGATGCCCCTCCCTGCACAGGCACAGAAATAGCACATCAATACACATCCACGGCTGAGGTGGGCCCGCACAAAGGCGCACACGGGTGTGCAGACCGCAGCACAGACCACACGTCAGAAGCTCCCACACTCCCTCCCAGCAGCCTCCCTGGTGGCCCCCAGTGCCCGTCGCCAGCCTCCTCCTCTTGGCCCGGCACTTCCTGTGGGAAAGTGAGTCTTTGTTAGCTCAGCTCAGGCACACCTGCCCCCTCCCCTGAGTCCAGCTGGGCTCTGTTTACCTAGCAACCCAGCCCTGGGTGCCTCTCTCCCCTGGCTACCACCGCCAGGTGATAAGGCCTCCTCGGCGCCTCCCAGAGAAGAAGGGGCTATTTATACTCCAACCGAGACAAACGAGAACCCCTCACCAGCCCGCGCTGGACCCCACTTCCTCTCTCTCCCGAGGGCGCAGGCCTGGCGCCCGCCACTCCTGGCCACAGACTTATGCCTGGCGTCCCAGACCACACGCAGGTCCTTCCATGGGACCTGAGGCCGCTGCCCAACAGAAGCTGACCGGGGCCCATGTCCCCAGAGTGGGATTTTGGCCCAAGTAGAGGGGGAAAGGCAGGCCAGCGGGAGCCCCTCGCACCCACCTCCAGGAGGCCACACCCCGCTCCCAGGAAGAATCCAGGCACCTGTGGCAGAGCCACTCCTGGGGACTCTTAGGGGAGAGAAAGGAAATGGGGCTCGGCAGTCAGAGGCCCAGCCCCCAGTCCCTCTCTGGGCAGCTCGAAGCATCACCTAATATGGTGGCAGCTCCCTGATTCTGGAGTGACAAAGGTGGGGAGAAAGGAGAGAAGGCCATGAGGCCCTTAGAAAAGACCCAGCACTAGGAGGGCATGCAGATTGGACAGCAGGAAGGACTTCCCAGCACAATTGTGCAAGAGCTGGCACACATTGCGCGCGCACACACACACACACACACACACACACACACACGCTGTCAATGAAAAGACCTGGCGACACAAAGGGTCAGGACATCTGCTCCCTAGACCGCCCTGGTCTGCTCCCCTGAGCCTCCAGCATGGGGGCCGTTGGAGGATAGAACCCCTCATTTCCTGCTGGAGGCTCTGCATCCTGCCCTCTGGGGCAAGGGCCAACATGGAGAAGTCGGAGTCTCCTGGGAGCTCGGGGGGCAGGCTAGACAATCATTAACTGGGGTGCCCTTCTCCCTCCCCTCTCACCTGGGCCTGTTTCCTCCCCACACCCAGGATGGAGGCCTGCCTGAGCCACGCAGGCAGCTGGAGGGGACAGTCTCCCCTCCGCTCCCCTCTCCCTTGCCCCCCTGTTTCCGCAGGGGCTCTGAGAGACGGGGAGATGACAGGAAAAGAGACAAACAGCCGTGGAGTGAAAACTGTGGGTTTGTCAGGGGCTCCAGAGAGAAAAGGGGGAGGAAGGAAAGTTGCCGTGTAGCGTGATAGGAACCAGGCTTCCCAGGGCTGCGTGGGCCCATCCCACACACCTGGCCTGTTGGCTGCCACACACACGTGCTGTGTGCACACACGTGCTCCTGGGATTCCAAGCCTGCTCACACACATGCACAGACCTGAACTCTGTAAGCAATGGCTGTTCTGGGCTGCCTCGCCACCCACAGAGATCAGAGAGTGGGTGACAGCAGGGAGCTGGCCATGGATTTGCTGTCCTAGCGAGACTCAGGGTTGAGGGCCACAGAGGGCTGGTCACAGACCCTGGAGGGGTGGGAGTTGGAAGTGGTTGAAGCAGTTCTAATCTTCCTAGGAGCCCCCCACCCTCTTTCCCCGTTTTGTCTATTTCCTTCCTAGGAAGAGATGGAGAATCAGCCCGCACTCCGTGTCCTACAGGGGGAGGAGTAGAAGCAGGGACAGGTGTGTCTCCAGCACCCACACGGTGCTTAGCAGGTGTTGGCTAAAAGGATGGAGGGAGGGAGCTTTCAGGAAGTATTTCTGGGGTTCACTGCGCTAGTGACAACAGAAGCAGCTAGAGAGCAAAAGTGAACGGCTCACCATCCTTCCCATGTTGTGTGTGTGTGTGTGGGGGGGGGGCGGGGGTGGTCTGAGATTCTTCACTCCTGCCCCTGCCAGCCCAGGCCTGGGACAAGCTGCAAGGCTGGCTGAGAGGAGGGGACAGAGGGTTCTGTTCTTGCAGGAGGGAGGCCACACCTGGTGGGGCAGGGCCTGAGCCTCCACTGTGGTGGCTGCCCCACTTGCGCTTGCCCCCTGGGCTTCCTCCCAGCCTGGACCCGCCCAGGCCCGGCTCCGCCCTGATGCCCTGTGGCCCTGTTCCCTGATCTTCTCTCCTTGGAAGACATGAGGTGAGCCTGTCCGAATCCAGGAGCCAGTACAATGATGCCAGGCCAGCAGGGCCCAGGTGCCCATCTCAGCAGGAGGTGCCCCTCCCCAGAGCCTGGGTGCCTCCCACTCATTCTGCCCACACTTGGTGTCCAAAGGCTTCTCCCCAAACCTCCCAATCAGCTAGTCCTCCCTCCAGTGTCCTCTATGGAAGTCGAGAAAGGGCTGCATGTGGGCCTTGCAAAGGTCACATTTACTCCGCTAACCGCTTCTGTCCAGGCGAGAAGAAATGCAGGCGCCTACAGCCAGGAAGAGGGAAGCTCAACGAGAGAGGCCTTCCTGATGGCGAGAGGAGGTGGGAAACACTCGGTGTCTTGGGAAGGTGGTGGCCCCCTGCCACTGCGAAGGCCCCTCTCAGCCCCCTGGCCCTGGGCAGGCCGGGACTCACCCCTGGAAGCGTCTTCTGTTCGTGCAGGGCGCTCTGGGCCTTCAGGGCTGAATCGCGGGCACAGTATGTCAGGAAGGCACATCCTGAGGAGGGGCGGAGGCAGAGAGACCATCGGGGGTGAGTCCGGGGGCTCCCCTCCCTTAAAGCCCCCATCAGGAGCATGAGGTCCGGGAAGCTGGTTCCTTCTTGCCACTTCCTGCCTGCTGGGGCGGGGGAGACATTCTGCCCAGGGCATCTCTGGGCTGATGAGCCTGGAACTGAGACCCAGAGGCCAGGAGGCTTAAGTGGGGGAGGTGATGGGAGCAGGAGAGCACGGAGGCTGCTGGGAGGTGGGGCTTTCTGGGGGCGGGGAGGGGAGAAGGGGCATGTGATTGCCAGACAAGTGCGTGTAGTGTGGTTCCCTCGCTTCCTCAGCTGATCTCCTTCCCTCTTTCTCGTTTGCCTCTACCTCCCTCCATCTTGGTCATCATCACCCCTCTCCTCTCCCATGTTCCCTGTTTCCTCATCTCTCTCCATCTCTCTGGGAGGCAGATGGGAAGTGGAGAGTGGGCTAGAGGAGAAGGGAAAGCCAGACATCAGCGCGAGTCCCTGTGGAGGGGCAGGCAGTGTGGCCCTTAGGACCCCAGCGGCCGGAGCCCTCCAAGTGCTGCCCCTCGGACCCTGCTCAGCCACACAGGCCTGAGGCGCACCCTCCCGTCGCCCCCCCAGCTCTTAACTTTCCAGCCCCACACACTTCCCAGATCGGCACCAACCTCTGTCCTTCATACCCTGCTCCCCAGGCCCCCTCCTCAGTCCTGGAACTGCCCTGCCTAGTCCACGTCTACTCTTTCCAGGTTGAGCTCCTGACCCTGTGTCCTGACCTCCATCCCAATAGTAGTTTGACTACTAAGACTCAGTACACACCCTCAGTACACACATGCACTGCCCAGCTCCTTACCTCCCAAACCAGCTCTCCCATCCCTCCATCGTTCCGCGCGTTCATCCACGACATCCCCTCCTCGTCCCTGGGATCCACATCTCTGCAGCCCCCTGACGACTCTTTCTCTAAGGAGGCCCTCCCTCGTCCTCGTCTGTCCGGGCCCCCTGGCCACCCTCGCTGAGTCCTCTTCTAACTCCTTCATCACACGCCCCAGCCCAGAAACTCTCTTCGTTCCAGATGGGCCCTCTCCAGCCACTCCATCCCTCGGCCCCCTTCCACCCTCCTCCCAGCCGCCCAGCCCACCCCCTGAAGCCTCTCCGGCCTGGCCCGACCCCTCACCCTTGTGCAGCCCCGTGTACTTGTCCTTGATGACAGTCAGCTCGAAGATCCGACCAAACTGTTCGAAGATGGGCTTCAGGTCCTTTTCCTCCAGATGCCGCGGGATCTGCCCCACAAACAGCTTGATGGCATCCGGCTCCTTCATTGGGGCGGCCCGGGAGGAGGGGCCGAGGGAGCAGGGAGAGGCCTGGAGGCCAGGGGAGCTGCCCAGCGAGAAGGCAAGTGGTGGGGGCCGGGGGGGGGGGGGGAGCAAGTGGTGGGCGCTGGCTTCCCTTCGGGCCCCTAACCAAGGTGCTCAGCGGAGGGGCAGCACGTCACACAAAGGAGGCTGGGGAGTTGAGGGCTAGGGGTCAAGGGTCTAGGCAGGCACTGTCATGCCACCAGGAGGCATAGCCCAAACAAACGGTCTCCTCCCAGAGATTTGGCAAAAATCCCAGGATGGGGGTCAGGATGGCCAAGACCTGGAGGGTAGGGTGGTCCCAAGGGCCCTGGGAACCAGATGAGAGCTGGAGGTGGGGAACGGCCAGAGGAGGGCAAGGGGATGGAGGCTGGGGGGTTAGGGGCCTGATGTGGGAGCCAGCACGGCCTGGGGGGGGGGGGGTCAGGAGGTCAGGGGGGCTCCTGAGATGGGGCAGGTGGGGCTCCTGTTGGCTTCCCTGAGAGGACACCTCCCCTGTGGCTGATCCTTCTGCTGGGTCCGCAGATCCCCGATGCCCGACGCTTGATCTCTGATGGCGGCAGGGCTCGGGGGTCCCTTCTGCCCTGCCACCCCCCTGCAGGTCCTCCCCTCAGCCCCCCTCCCACCCCACCCCGGCCCGGGCCTGGGCTGCGCCGGCGGCTCCCGTGGCTGGGGTGCCTGCCTTCCCGGTCACCTGGGTCCCGGAGCTGCGCTCTCCAGCCGCGTTCTCCTCAACAAAAACCTCCCCCCTCCACACCCCCTCCCCACTCCCACCTCCTCCCCGATCGCAGTGATGTCAGTCTCAGGGGTGGAGTACAAATTCCCTGCCCTGGAGAGGGACGCACAACCCGGGCGGGAGCCTCGCCCTCCTCCTCCCTCCTGCCTCCCGGCCCCCGGCCGCCCCAGAAGAGCGGCTGGTCCTGTGGATGACAGCCCTTCCCCCCTCCTCCCCAGGCACGAGCCGGGCCGGCACGAGGATGGGGAATTTATAGAGGAGCCCTAAGGCGGGGTCCATTGTTCCGGGGGCTGGAGCTGTCCCCGGTGCTGGAGGAGCAGACCCGGGAGAGGGGAGCCTGGGGAGGAGGGGAGCCGGCACCAGGGGGACCGGGAGTGGGGAGTCAGGACAGAAAGTGGGGAGAGGAGGATGGCACAGAACAGCTGGGCGGGGGTGGTGGTGGAGGGAGGTGACACTGGGAGGGAAGCAGGGCACAGCCTGGGGGGACAGGGCAGAGGGACCCCGAGGGGAAGGTGGACAGGGGGGCGGAGCAGGGCAGAGCGGGGGAGATGGACGCAGAGAGGAGGTGTATCTTCCAGAAGAGGAGCCGGGAAAGCTGTGTCTCGCTGGCATTTGCCGACGCCCCCTGCCCTCCCCCCGGGGTGCTGTGTGTGAGCGGGGCCGGGAGGGTGGGCAGGGAGGCGCCAGCTCTCACGTGTCAGCTCCTTGAAGACCGGGGCCGTTTAACCCAGCGTCTCGCTGCTCACAGCGTCTCGCACAGTGTCTCGCTCAGACATAGAAGGTGCTTAACAGACACTCCCCGGATGAACACTGACGCCAGGAACCTCGGGCAAGAGCAGCTCTCGGTTCATTCAGAACCACACAGCCAAGCTCCCCTATGACATGGGGCAGAAACGCCATCGCCCCTCCCTCTTCTCCCTGTCCGCCCCCCGCCCCCTTCAGGTTCCTCGAGTGGGACTGGAATTGAGTCAGGGAGTGAAGAGAGGTGGGGGAAGCACATTTGGGGGCCCTTACTCCCCTAAACAACTATGTTTCATGATCTGGATGGAGCTTGCCCCCCCCCCCCATGCACTGGGCCCACTCACAGCTCCCCCTCAACGCAGGGAGCACCTGCTGACACCCAGCCTCCTGGATGAGCAGCTCTTGTCTGCCAGGGCTCACCACAGGGGCTCGAACGCTTTTGTAGAACACCCTGCCTCCCGTCATCCCCTTCTTCACCCCAAGTGGAGCAATGTCTTCACAGGGGTGCTGGTGTGTCTGAAAAATGCCCCAGCGGACTCCCAGCAGCCCCCTGCTCAGCTGTCACCGCGAGCAGGCTTCCCTCAGGAAGGGAAGTAAGAGTAACAGCACTTGGATGGGACCCACTGTGTCCCAGGCATGGTTCCAAGTGCTATGTATTTACTAACTTGTTTAACCTCAGCACCACCCTATGGCGGAGGTTCAGTTATTAGCTCACGCAGCTGGGAAGGGATCTGGCCGAGAGTGAAGCAGGCAGCCCAGCGCCCGAGGCCACGCCTTTAACTCCGGGGGGCCCTGGCCAGGTGGCGCATTTGGTTTGGTTGGAGTGTCTTTCTGTGCACCGGAAGGTTGCAGGTTTGGTTCCTGGTCAAAGGCAATGGATTGATGTTTCTCTCTCCCGCCTCCTCTCTCTCTCTAAAATGAATAACAAGGGATCCTCCAATGAGGATTAAAATGTAAAAAGCTCCTAGTGGGAATGGGAGAGTGGTCAAGCCTGGCCTTTCTTCTTCCTGTGTCTTCATTTGAGCCCTGAGTGGGAGAGGTCCTTCTTCCTACTGCTTGAGTCACTGGGACTACTTTCCATCCTTCCTATGTGGGTGTCTGTGGTCTGAAGCCATATTCGGCAGGTCCGTGTGTGTGTGTGTGTGTGTGTGTGTGTGTGTGTGTGTGTGTGTGTGTAGACATGATTACACTTCATCACATGGGCACTGAGGTCCTCCTAGTAGGGTCTCCTAAGGTGGGTGTGAGGGAGATGGAAGAGGACCCAGTGCTGTGTGGTCAGGCATGTGATGCCAGTGCCAGGGAACTGGGAGTGCAAACACATCTGGGAAGTAACTTTCCACTCACCTCCCTCACCCCCAGTGCGTCTTTCCTTGCTTCTAATCTGATCTTGGTATTTATGGAGACGATAAACAGATCACGCCCTGTGCGGATGGACTCCAGGAAGACCCCACTGCCCCGCTGATCTCATTACCCTGTGTCTTGTCAGCAGATCTGCCGCCCTGCTGCTCATTTAGGCTTGGGGCTAATCACATTAATTGAAATATTAAACATTCGAAAAAATGAATTATAATGAACTCCCCTCACTCCTCTTCCCAGTCAGCAATCGGAGAGTCAGCTGCCCACAGCATAATCCCTCTCTTAGTTTGTGGTCCCCAGATGGAAGGCTTTAGCCTTAGAGGAGAAGCAGGGTTTAGGGGAGAAGAGGTGGGGCCTCTCACAGGCCCTCTTTGCTGGGTGACTGTGGGCACATCTCTGTTTGCCTTCAAGCCCCCAGGGAGGGGAGCCCTGGGAGGTAAAGACTGGGGAGGCAAGGGGTGGGAGGAGGCCCAATGACTCAGAGGCGCATTCCAGGAGGAAATGAGGCTTCAAAGTCCTGGGTCCCCCAGGCACTTTCTCTGCCCACCGTCCCCAAGCCCTCCCTCCCGCCTTTCTTGTTCCACTGCACTCAACGCTAAATTGCCCTACATAAAGAGATTCTTTTTAATTGAATTTATTGGGGTGACATTGGTTCACAAAGAAGATTATTTACTTTATAAAGGGAGAACTCACCCCTGGGTTTAGACTTAGGAAGTGAGAAATGCTGAATAACTGGGCTATTTTTCAGAAAGGGCAAAATGTAGTAGTGCTATGTGTGGGCAGAGTGGCTAGTCACCAAATGCTTGCCGGCCTCACCAATTAAAAACAGAGAGAAGACATCTGCAGCAGAAAGTACAAAAAATTGATACTATAACCTTCCTTCCCTCGAGTGGCTCCTACCTCAAATGGAGTGTGCAGCAGGGAGGACTGGGATGCTGTTAAGGCAATAGAAGTGGGCTCTCTCATTTACACACATGGGTATTTGGGATTTGGGCCATGAAAAGTGCTCAGTCAAGAAAGGCTTGATTGGTTCTCAAAGCACAAGCAGACCATAGACCAGCAGAGGAGGAAATTAATTACTTTTGGTTTGGGGGTGAGGGATGAAGAGAATAGTGCATGCATATGCAGGTGTGTGTGGGTAGATTTGCCAGTCCAGACCAGCAAATCTATCTAATTTAAAAATTTCTAGGAGCCACATTTAAAAAAATAGAAAAAAACAAGCCTGCGGGGAGGGGAGGGCAGAGGGACTCTGAGAGGAAATTAAATTTTTTATTAAAAAAATATATTGTTGCCCTAACTGGTTTGGCTCAGTGGATAGAGCGTAGGCCTGGGGACTGAAGGGTCCCAGGTTCGATTCCACTTAAGGGAACCGTGTGCCTTGGTTGCGGGCACATCCTCAGTAGGGGGTGTGCAGGAGGCAGCTGATCGATGTTTCTAGTTCTCTATCCCTCTCCCTTCCTCTCTGTAAAAAATAAAATATATATATAAAGTTGAAAGTCCCCCAGAAATTACTTTTAATAATATTTTTTATTTCATTGATGTATAGCCAAAATATTATTCAACATGTAATCAATATAAAGATTATTAATGAGATACATTACATTTTTTTTTACTAAGTCTTCACATCTAGTGTGTATTTTACACTCACACCACATCTGACACAGCAACATTTCACGTGCTCAGGGGGCACAGGTGGCTTGCGGTGACCACACTGAATGGTGCAGGTCTAGAGGCTCCACCATTCACTACTCTGGGGGGTAGAGGGTGGAGAGAGACAGGTCTTGGCCAACAGGAACCATCGCCTCTGATTAATCTCTGCTCCTGCCTGAAAAAAAATCACTTCCGACAGATGGCAGCTTATCTACCTCTCATTCTACTAACTCTCTCTCCAGAAAAACACAAACAACCAAAGGGATTACTAACTGGATGGGGTTCTTGGAAACAGGCCAGTAGCCACGACCTAATCTGCTTCTTTTGGGTTTTTCTGGGCTTGGGAACTGCCAACATTTTCACTTCTTCTTTTAAAATATGTTTTTATTCATTTTAGAGAAGAAGGGAGAGGGATAGAGAGGGAAATGTGGACGAAAGGCTGCCTCCTGCAGGCTCCCCACTGAGGATCGAGCCCCAAAGCCCAGGCCTGGGCCCTGACCTGGAATCAAACCGGCAGCCTCTGGGCGCCTGGGATGACGCTCAACCAACTGAGCCATGTCGGCCAGCGCAACATTTTCACTCTTTTCCTCAGTTTGCCAAGAGGCTAGAGGCAGACCACCGAGAGACCCCAAGGCCAAGGCCTAACGCAGGGCTTGCTTCTCCGGCTCTGCCCTTGCTCATTGGGCAGCTGATCCCCCTTTTGGGCTCTTCTCTGGCTCGCAGAAGACGCTGCTGGGCAGGCTCCCTGGGGG